CCTGGGAAAGTGGCAGTGGATTGTGATAGTCCTAACCACATGGTATCTCCAGTTGCAACTCTTGTACTAGACATGATGGAGCCTAGCATAGGGAATAGTTTAGCAATCTGGGACTCCTCTTGGTTTGGGCTATACACACACTTGTCTTTTAGTAATGCACTTCGAAGCCTTGTTGTGCCCAAATTCTGAACCCCAAAATCACCAAGAGGCCCATTTTGATGCAAAAGCAAAGAGTCTTTTGTTGTAGATGTTTAATGAGCTAACCCCATTAGCTCGGGCCCTTCACCCCACCACCATGGCAAACCGCTGGAGAAAGACCCCAGTAACCTTGAGGCAGGGATCTTAAAGGGCAGCGTTAAGGGGAGTGTCTAGGGGCATGAAACAGTCTCAGGATTGGTGTGCTTCTAGGTCTGGGTGACCCGCCCTGTGTTGATTGGTCAACTGGTTGTTATGGCCCATAGGCCCTACCAGGACGGTTGCTATGCTCTGCATGTCACTGTTGTGCACTGTCCATAAAGCACACCCAGAGCCGTAAAGCACAGCCCCGCCAGCTAACTTCTGATTGGTTCCTTGCCACAAGGAGGGCATCTACCTTAGTGACCAGGACAGGAGCAACAAGGTCATGCAAGCACATGTTAGCCTGTAAGGGCTGCTAAAATGGGGGACTGGTCACTACAGCCTGAGTCCCTTACCTGCAAGAACTATACTCTTCTCTGAACAATACACCCAGCCACCTGTTAGCAAGCTAGGGCCCCATGTGCATGAAGCTCTCCCACCCCTTGAATGGTGGAATAAGTATCTCCTCCCCTTAATAACCACTAAACTTGGACAGATTCTACTAGATCATACTCCACCAGTTAGGTCTGGTAAGAGGAGGAAAGCTAATCTGCTGAACTGGTTTTGAATGCATGTACATGAACACTAAGGCAAACTGTGTCCTTAAAGTGAATCTTCAAGGAAAATCCCATTTACCAAATATGCCTGTGCATAGATGAGTGTGGGGCTGTGTACAGCAGAGAAATGGCTATGCAATTGGATGCAAGCAAAACAGAGAATCTCTCAATCTATGCCCCTAGTAACCAAATTCCTCTTGAATCCCATAAGAGTAAGTCCCAAACAGTAATGGGTGTAGAGTGTAGCCTTCCCCACCATCCTCCTGGGCACTGCCACAGTTACAGCCCCCCAAATAACACAAAAGACACTGTATTTTGAAGCTGTTGGCCGTTTGCTTGGTTTCTTACTGGCTATCTCTGACTTAAGTATTTAACCCATTAATTGTTAATCTAAGTATTTCTCTTATCAGAGAAAGGGTCCGGACCTCTTCCTCCTCTGGCAGCTACATGGTGTGTCTGACTCTGCCTCTCTTTCCCAGAACCTCAACTCATAGTCCCATCTATCTTGCTTCCCTATTGGCCAACAGTGCCTTATTCAACAACCAATAAGAGACAGATTTACAGAATTACATTTCCCATCAAATGGGACCATTTAAATGCCTTCACTCTGTGGCCTGCTGTCAGTCTCGACTGTATTCCTTTTTAACCTGTACTGTAATTTCACTTAAAAAATTTTTTTTCAAGTCAGGGTTACTCTGTATAACTTTGGAGCCTGAACTAGCACTCACTCTGTAGACCAGGTTGGCCTCGAACTCACAGAGATCTGCCTGCTTCTGCCTCCCTTGTGCTGGGATTAAAAGCATGCACCACCAACGCCCAGCAAAAAAAAATTATTTTATTTTTTTAACTTATGGGGCTAGAGATGGCTCAGTGGTTAATAGCACTTGCTGCTTTTCTAGAGGACTCAGGTTTCATTCCTAACACCCACATCAGGCAGTCACAACTGTCTGTAACTCTGGTTCCAGGTATCTAACACCTTTGACCTCTGTGGTGGTTTTGGATACGAATGACACCCCCCCCCACCATAGGCTCATATTTTTGAATGCCAATTCATTAGGGAGTGCTACTTGAGAGAAATTAGGAGTGTTGGCATACCCCAAATTGAGGAGGGGTCCCCAAGCTGGATTTGTCACCCCAAGAATCAAGAGTCCACACGCCAATTGATGCAACACGCAAGAGGCTTTAATTAGGCATCTGCAGACGGGCCTCTCGGTCAGCTTTTAGACCGATTGGCCCCGAGGTTCAGTTACAATCAGCTTTTAAAGACAAAAACCACAAGCCTTTGGGAGGGGTCCCTATCTTGTGACGGGGGCGGGGTGGGGGGGTGACTACTGACCAGGGGAAGTAGATGTCTTCCTAACCTACATGTTGTAAATTCCTCAAACCTTGGTACGAGTTAATCATCTCTCCCTAAGTAAATGGTGGTTATCTCTCCTTGTTTCCCACAAATCTTGTTTGCCCATCTCTGACGCCCTGGTCAGTTCTTCACAGGTGGTCAGCAGCCTAGAATTTGGCCTTTTGTGGGTTTACAGCCCTTCTGCAATTAAGGTTGCTAAAACATACATTCCAGTCTGTGGTTTGGCCAGTTCCTGGGATGGGGTCCTTTGTTCACTTCCCAAGTTCTCTAGTAGGGTACCCTCCCCTGTTTAAGCTTATATTTTATTTCTATAAATTCGGGTCTTTCAGGAGGTGTGGCCTTGTTGGAGGAAGTGTCACTGGAGGTGGGCTTTGGTGTTTCAAATGTTCAAGTCAGGCTCAGTGTCTCTTCTCCCTGCTGCCTGTGGATCTGATATAGAACTCTCAGCTGCTTCTCCTGCATCATGTCTGCCTGCATGCATGCTTCGATGCTTCCCACCATAATGAAGATGAACTAAACATCTGAAACTGTAAGCTAGTCCCAATTAAATGCTTTCCTTTATAAAAGTTGCATGGTTATGGTCTCTCCACATCAACAAAACACCAATACCTGGTATATGCTTGTTGACCTGGCAAAGTCTTTGTGTTCATGTTACCAGTAAGGACCACTAAAAGCAGTTTGTGTTCAGATGGCCAGGTCAGCAATACCCCTTTACTGACCCGTCTCAAGGACGTACTCTCCAGTCTGTCACAGTTTGATTCACAGCAAATTGGACTGCTTTTCCATTCCGTGAGATACCACACTGGATCATTCATTGAAGACCATATGCTTAACTAGACCAAGTACACACAAGAACTGTTGTGTGAACTTTTCCTGGGAGGATGTAAACAAATGCCTACTTACCCTGATAGGATATCACAGCAGATCAAAGCAACGGTTCTACCAAAGGCCAACATGACCAACCAATGGCTTGGAATTCCTTAAGGGTTCATGGATAAGCCCCAAAGAGCTACCCCACTGAGAAGACTCACACCAACACAGACGAAGACTTCCTATAGCTGTATTGATGGAGTCCCTGTCTTCCCTTAATCTTCCATACTATATATACTCTAGCATTCTAGCTCCTTCTGAGACCAGATTATCTTCAGCTGGGTCAGAACTACACTCAGCTGTCAGGGAAATGCAGGTTAGAGGGGCTGAGGTCTCAGGTGACGGAAAACGGGCTTTCTTTTTTTTTTTTTTTTTTTTTCCGAGACAGGGTTTCTCTGTGGCTTTGGAGGCTGTCCTGGAACTAGCTCTTGTAGACCAGGCTGGCCTCGAACTCACAGAGATCCGCCTGCCTCTGCCTCCCAAGTGCTGGGATTAAAGGCGTGCCACCAACGCCTGGCTGGACTTGAGTGTCTGTTATGAGTCACACCTACTTTGATGAAGATGGCCACAGTTGTTATGCTCAAAGGACAGCGTTCTTCAAGTATCAATCACTGTACTATAAGATACTTACCAGCCAGGTAGTGGAAAAATCAATCCAACAAAACTCCAGTTGCCTACTAACCTCAGCAAAATGTTAGGGATCTACTAGTATAGGATACACGGCGATGTTTTTTAGGTGACCAATTAAATTGTCCAATTTGGTCTTTCTTTTCTATTTTTTTTTTTTTTTTTTTTGGTTTTTCGAGACAGGGTTTCTCTGTATTGTCTTGGAAGCTGTCCTGGAACTCGCTTTGTAGACCAGGCTGGCCTCGAACTCACAGAGATGCACCCATCTATGCCTCCCGAGTGCTGGGATTAAAGGTGTGCGCCACCAACGCCCGGCCCAATTTGGTCTTTCTATAATCAAGAAAGAGGCACAGCATCGGGCAGACTGTGGAGCTAACGTATTCACCTGGACAGGTGACTCTGGCCCATTTTTCAGGTGCCCTGAAAAGCTTCTAGTCTTGAGAGGCATGCAGAACAAGGGGGCTTTACACAGTTGTGGGCTACCTCGCAAGGTGCTTTGTGTCTTGGCCATACGAGCCAAAAGGTCTAATGGTTCTTTTTTTTTTTTTTTTCGGTTTTTCGAGACAGGGTTTCTCTGTATTGCTTTGTAGGTTGTCCACTTACTCTGTAGACCAGGCTGGCCTCGAACTCACAGAGATCCGCCTGCCTCTGCCTCCAGAGTGCTGGGATTAAAGGTGTGTGCTACTACCGCCCAGCTGTCTAATGATTCTTAAAGGGGCAGGACAGAAGCTGTCTGGGGCTCCCTCTAGTTGAGCTACATTGCAAGCTTCTGGTTTTTTGTTTTGTTTTGTTTTTGGTTTTTTGAGACAGTTTCTCTGTTTAACAGCTCCAGTTGCCCTGGAACTCAGTTGGTACACCAGGCTGGTCTCAAACTCACAGAGAGCTGCCTGCTTCTGCCTCCCAAATGCTGGTATTAAAGGCATATGTATGCCACTACTGCCCGGCTAAGTTTTATTAATTTTTTAAAAGATTTATTTCATGTGTAGGAGTGTTTTACCTGTGTGTATATCTGTACACCATGTGTGTAGTGCCTGCAAAGGCCAGCAGAGGGAATTGGATCCCCTGGAACCGGAGTTATGGGTGGCTGTGAGCCACCATGGAGATGCTGGGAATTGAGTCCTCTACAAGAGCAACAAGTGCTGAGCTGTCCCAGCCTTCCAGCCCCTGACACTTTTTAGAGAGACTTCTTCCCCAACAGGTGTTGCTATGTGTTCTCCCAGTGTGAAAATTCTTAGAAAACAAGCTGATAGCAATTAAGTTCGTAATAAATTTTATAAGACAATGCAGTGTTTTTCAAAAAATTGGAACAGTTCTCATAAAAAAATAAACTGACAAAAACACAGAAACGTTGAAATGATTGACTGAACCGTGGATGCTCAGAAGGAAGGGCTCCTGAAGAGGCTCAGCCTAACCCCTCTGGAAACAGCCAATTTAACAACTTCGGCTCTCCTAACTTCAATGCACTCATTTCATAAAAATAACACAAACTAAGCCAGGCGGTGGTGGCGCACGCCTTTAATCCCAGCACTCGGGAGGCAGAGGCAGGCGGATCTCTTGTGAGTTCAAGGCTGGGCTGGACCGATAGCCTCCAAAATAATACAGAGAAACCCTGTCTCGAAAAACCAAAAAAAAAAAAAAAAAAAAACCATTTAAAACAGAGCAAAGAGTAAAATGAGATTAGAGAGAGGTCAGATCCTCAGGCAGCTCTGCAATACACAAAACAACACATTCAGAAACACACATATTCTGTGTCCTTGCATATTTATAGACGGAGACCTACCATCACATAAACTAACAAGTGAGTCCAGGAATGGCCATGCATTCCTGTAGTTCCAGCATGAGGCCATAGCTGGAGGATCTTAAGTTTGAGGCCACCCTGGGCTATAGAAAGACGCAGTCTCAAAAAAAAAATTAGTCAACTATATTCATTCCTCAGGTGTATTAACTTCACTGTACTTCATATATATGGAATGAGGCTGAAGCAAGAAAGACACAACTAGCACAGGGCTGTTAATAAAAAATTAAAAAATATTAATTACTGTGAAATATTAAGTGAAAACCAACCCCAGATCAACAAAAAAAATTTCTGATTAGATAAATAAAATTTTTAAACTAAAAACGTACACTATCAGAAGATCCTGATTAAAATAAGGAAATATATAAAGCTGGAGCAGGAAGTAAACTTGATACGTCGGCTCTCAGAGGTCTACGGGTCTGACTGCCGGCCGTCACCCAGTCCCTGGGCGCTCAGCGGAGAGTGACCAGCTCTTCTGAAGAGGTAGGATGAATGGCAACCGTGTTGTCAAAGTCGGCCTTGGTGGCCCCCATTTTCACTGCTACAGCAAAGCCCTGAAGCATCTCATCACACCCCATCCCCTGCATGTGGATCCCGACCACCTGTGAGAAAGCAGAAATTGTGAAGTCACATATTTGTGAGGTCCATATGATAGCTCAGATACCAGGCTAGAAATGCCTAAGCCACTGTATTGTACCTCTACCAACACCAATGGAAGCACTCTAAAACGGATCATATTTCTAATCCAAGGTTAAGTCAACCCACGAGGCCCTGCGGCCCTGCAATGCCTCGCTCCAGCACACACTAGGCATTTCCTACTCCTGCTTTCCTCCTGGCCCATCCACTTCTCTTTGAACATGATGTCTCTCTTGTTTGATGAACTTCTTTCTCTCTCCTTTTTTCCTGACAGAGTCTTGTCGTATAGCCTAGGCTGGCCTCAAACTCCTGATTCTCCTGCCTCAGCCTCCTGAGTGCTGAGATCACTAGTCTACACCACCACGCCCGGATTTCTTCTCTCCTTCCTAAGAAGGTCATTAACCAGACAGCCACAGAGCTGTCCCTTCCCATTCATTAACCAGACAGCCACAGAGCTGTCCCTTCCCATTCATTAACCAGACAGCCACAGACCCGTGCCTTCCTGACCCAGTTAATTCTGTCCCCTGCTCTCTAAGCACCAGGAGTTCTGTCAAGGTTCTAGACAGTCACAGGATTGTCTATGTTGGGCAAGGACTACACAATTACAGTTCAATCCCTGTTTCTGTTGCAAGAGCAGCAGGAACTCCTGCGTTTCAGTCATAAAGGAACTTGGGAGACCAGAGGCCAGAGTGAGACCCTGGTAAAACGGGAAGGGAAGAGCAGGGTCCCTGCTGACTCAATTGAAATGACAATCAGGCCACTGAGGACTGTTCCCAGCAGCAAGCCACAAACCCCTCTTCTCTGAGGTGCTGCACTAAAAAGCCAGAGTGTCTTGGGACTTTTGGTATTGAAGCCCATCAAATCACACACAGACTGTAATTATTTAAACTCGTTTTCTTTTTCACATTTATTTATGTACGAGTGCTCTATCTGTAAGTACAACTTTATGCCAGAAGGGGACATCAAATCCCACTATAGATGGCTGTGAGCCCCATGTGGGTGCTGGGAATTGAACTCAGGACCTCTGGAAGAGCAGCCAGTGCTCTTAACCGCTGAGCCATCTCGCCACAGCTCTTAATTATTAAGAATAGAAGCTGAAAACTATTACTATAGCTAAATTTCTTCTTGGTTTTTCTTTCTTTCTTTCTTTTTTCTAAATGTGTGGAAATGGCAACTACCACTTTTTTTTGGATTTATTTATTTATTATGAATACAACATCTTGCCTCATGTATGTCTGCACACCGGATCTCATTATGGATGGCTGTGAGGCACCATGTGGTTGCTGGGAATTGAACTCAGGACCTCTGGAAGAGCAGTCAGTGCTCTTAACCTCTGAGCCATCTCTCCAGCCCTCTTCTTGGTTTTTCAAGACAGGATTTCTCTGTGGCTTTGGAGGCTGCCTTGGAACTAGCTCTTGTAGACCAGGCTGGCCTTGAACTACAGAGATCCACCTGCCTCTGCCCACGGAGGGCTGGGAATAAAGGCGTGCGCCACCAACACCTGGCCTACTATAGCTAAATTTCTAAAACCAATTTTTATGTTTATTTCACTGTGTGTGGGGGAGGGGCAGGGTCAGAGAGCACGACCATGCACAGGGGAACCAGAGTGATCAGGTCACATGTGAGCTAGCTACCGAATGTTGGTGGAGGTCAGAGGAGAAACTCCTGAAGAGTTAGTTCTCCTTTGCTATCTTGCGGGATCAGAGATTCAACCTGAGGTCATCAGGCCTTCAAGCAAGTACTACTGGGCCATCTCCTAATGTACCGTAACATCTCCTAACATAACATTGCAGCTAGGTGCTGGCAGCATGTGCTTTGGACTTTACATCTTGGAAGGCTGAGGCACAAAGGTCAGGACATACGAACCAGGCTATGTGGTAAGAGCCAGTGCCAAAAATCCAAGGAAAACTAACACTTCACGAAAGGCATATCCTTTACACATGACCAGGTTCCTCCTTAAGGTTTAATCCAATTACAAGAAACAGCTAAGAAGTTGAGGACCTGGGGCTGGAGAGATGGCCCAGTGATTAAGAGCATTGGCTGCTCTTCCAGAGGTCCTGAGTTCAATTCCCAGCAACCACATGGTGGCTCACAACCATCTGTAATGAGATCTGGTGCTCTCTTCTGGTGTGCAGACATATATGAATACAAAATAAATAAGTCTAAAAAAAGATAAGGACCCGCCGAGTGTTGGTGGCGCACTCGGGAGGCAGAGGCAGGCGGATCTCTGTGAGTTCGAGGCCAGCCTGGTCTACAGAGTGAGTTCCAGGACAGCCTCCAAAACAATACAGAGAAACCCTGTCTCGAAAAACCAAAAACCAAAAAAAAAAAAAAAAAAAAAAGATAAGGACCCAAAACCAAATGTATTTTCTAAATTTTAAAGTAAGACCCATTCAAATGCAGATCAAAACCATACCGAGAAACCACACAACCCTCACTGAAGACATTGGTGAGGGAGAAGTGGGAGCATTTGCTGGGGGGGGATAGAAAATCCTGCAGAACACCAAAACCCGTTTGGCAGATCCTCAGAAAGCTAAGCCAAGAGACAGGTAACTAAAAGAAGTTGGCTAAACTTTGACTTTATTGTTTTATTTCATTAAGTTTTAAATCATATTAAAACACATTTACACTATATATTTTAAGGATTTCTTTCATTTTCATGTATGTTTATGTGCGTGTCTCTGTAATTCTGTACACACGTGTGGGAGTGCCCTCAGAGGCCAGAAAAGAGTTCCAGATTCCTTTAAAGCTATAGTTACAGGCAGCTGAGAGCCACCTAACTGAAGCAAGTGCTAGGAACCAAATTCAGGTCTCTGCAAGCGCAGCCAGTGTTCTTGACCAATGGGTCATCTTTCCAGGCCCCTTTACCAGCATTTCTGAGCCTCCTGTCTCCTCTGCATTAGTGGTAAATGACAAGTTTTTATTTTCCCTCCCGGTTGTCTTTTTATCTTTAAGATAGGCATTCTTTGACTCTTCGCAATGCTGAGAGTCAAACCTCCTTTTAAAAAAAGGAGCACAATTTTGTTTCTTAAGAGTCCCAAAATATGCCGAGTGGTGGTGGGGTAAGCCTTTAATCTCAGCACTCGGGAAGCAGAGGCAGGCGGATCTCTGTGAGTTCGAGACCAGTCTAGTCTACAAGAGCTAGTTTCAGGACACCCTCCAAAGCCACAGAGAAACCCTGTCTCAAAAAACCAAAACTAAAAAAAAAAAAAAAAGCCCCAAACTACATAGAAGAGAGACAATTTCCCATACCTTTTCCTCTTGGTTGGCACAAACCATTTTCATCACACATTTTGTCTTCCTTGTGGTTACGGCATGATACATTGGGGTAAAGGTAGTTGAGTAGATCTTTACATTCTCTTTTCCATACTTATGAATGGCTTCATCTATAGTGCACATTAAAAGAGCATCAATCAAAAGCTGAACCATTCCACAGAGCTATGAGAGGGCACTGTCCAGAAACACACCTGAATCAAACAAGAAGGAAGCAGCCAGCTGTGCCAAAATAAGGGTCAGTCTGCAAGATAAACGTCCATACCACATCACAACAGAATGGATGAAGAATCAGTTTGGTCTCTGATTATATGAGACCAAACTGCTTGCAATGAATTGTGCTGGACTGAATTCTGGATTGAGGATGGGGGATTATGTTCTAAATAGTATTCGAGATAGATGGGTAAATTTGCATAAAGTCTAAAGTTTAAATAATACTTCACTTTAAAATTTTTGTTTTTTTGTTTATTTTTCGAGACAGGGTTTCTCTGTGGCTTTGGAGGTTGTCCTGGAACTCGCTCTGTAGACCAGGCTGGCCTCGAACTCACAGACATCCACCTGCCTCTGCCTTCCGAGTGCTGGGATTAAAGGTGTGTGTCACCAACGCCCGGCTCACATTAAAAATTTGTAATACTTTATTAATTGAAGTTTTCCCATCTTAAAACTATGTTTATGTATATGTTCTTAAAAAATAAGACGTAGGGTGTATATGTGGCAATAGTTCTCCACTTTCCTAATGCTGTGACTTCATGTTGTGGTGACCCTCAGTCATAAAATGATTTTCATTGTTACTTCATAACTGTAATTTTGCTGCTGTTATGAATCATAATGTAAATAGTTGGTATTTGCAATGGCCTTAGGTGACCCCTGTGAAAGGGTCCTTCGACCTTCAAGGAGGTCGAGACCCACAGGCTAAGAACCGCTGGTATATAGGGTGCAAAACTATAAGGACACAGAGGAGTCCTTTGGCTACTCTTATATAAATATAAAAATCCAGAGTGTGTGTGTGTGTGTGTGAGAGAGAGAGAGAGAGAGAGAGAGAGAGAGAGAGAGAGAGAGAGAGAGAGAGAGAGAGAGAGAGAGAGAGAATGGAAACAGATATATGGGCAGCAGGAGGAGTCACACTCTAAGTACTCATTGCTTGAGAACTATGACTCCAGACTAAAGAAAAGGGTTAGTGCAACTTGGGACACAGTGATTTTGGCCGATAAAAGGTTAGAGAAGGAGCCCCAAATGACCTTCATTGTAAAATGCCTACCTTCAGTGAGCCCCACTGTGCCAATAGGGGGGTGGCTGAAGACCACGGTAGGGATGTTGTCATAGTCTAATTTGGAATCTTGTTTGCATTCAAAAAGCCTATGAGCCAGTTTCCGGCCAGCAGCTATCGCAACTACGATGATACAAAAACCAGGGTCTCTTTTATTTCTTTTATCACAGCAACACTGCTCTAGGAGCAGTTTGCCCATCTAATGTTCATTAGCATCTCTATTTTCACATAATGAAAACCCAGCACTGCCATAGCGAACACCCCAAAGCCACTGGCTTAGTCACTCCATGTTCTGTTATAAAGCAAAGCGACATGTGCCCAAGTTCCCAGTTGCCTGGAAGTTAATCCGCCAAATGAGAGCATTCCTGGTAGGGTATTTAGAGAACAAGCCATAGTTTGGCACATTTGTATTCTATTTCAGTAAGATTCCTTTAAAAAAAAAAAAGCTTGTGTTCCATCAGCCTGTTTTTATTCCTACGTCATCCCCTCAAATGGACTGAGTCCAGAAAAAGCGCCAGTTATTAATTGACTGATGTGAAATTAGCAGTTTATTTCCTAAGACAAGCTAAGTAGACCTGAATCAGATGAAGCAAGATTATTTTTCAAACTCTTGTTAAAGGATATAAAATTTCAGTTAGGAGGACTGCATTCAAGAGATCTACTGTGCAGCATGGTAACCACTGTTAATATAAGCATGTAGCTAGTGTATTGTTTACTTGAAAATTATTGAGAGTAGCTGAGCTGTGGTGGTAGACCGGGCTGGCCTCGAACTCACAGAGATCCTCTTGCCCCTGCCTTCCGAGTGCTGGGATTAAAGGCGTGCGCCACTACCGCCTGGCCCAAAAACAGTCTTCTAAGGAATAATGAATTTTATTCAGGAAAGGTCAGGTACCTAACCTGCATCTACTTCAATGCCATTTTGATGACAAACACACAAATGCTTTTAATTTTGCTGAAGTGAATTTGACTGTGAAATCTTGGTGGCTTTAGATAACAAACAGGCCTCTCTCCCCAAGAAAGGAAACAGCATTACCTGGGGTGAGAAGTGCTCTCCCACAGACATCTCCCACAGCATAGATGCCTTTGACATTGGTATTCTGGAATTCGTCTACGATGATATGGCCTTTTTCATCAGTCTGAATCCCCTAAAAAAAACCACAAAGGAACATCTGGTAAACACTGGGACCATCTATCATGGTAATCAAACCTTGAGATCAGCTGCATTACACATCTGCACCTCCAAAAAGCCTAAGACATCAACATGCAAATCACTTCAAGCCAACAAGTTCCATAGCTTCCTTAATACGTGTGTGTGTGTGTGTGTGTGTGTGTGTGTGTGAACTGTTTCATCAATTACTGAGGTGCTTTAATGGGACTAGATTGATCCAGTAAGCATGAAAAGGAATGAGAGAGAGAAAGAGGCGGGGGAAGGGAAGGGAGAAGGAAATGACTAGGCTATCAGATATACTATCCTACTTGATACCCCATGGGGTTCCTCTGAAACACCTGTCAGCTGTTTCCTGAAGTACTTGAAGAGCTAATGTATTGCTCACCGGCTAGGGTTTTGCTAACTTTACAATGCTAGGGGCCTTTGGGAAGCAAGACCCTCAACTGAGAAAACGTTCCCACCAGATCGCCCAGGGGACAAGTCTCTAGGGCATTTTCTTGACTAATGATTGATGTGGATGGGGCAGCTCACTGGGGCTGGGGCCATCCTAGGTGGTTCTGGATAATATAAGAAAGCAGCCTGAGCAAGGCTCGAGGAGCCACGTGGCACACAGCACTCCTCCATGGCTTCTACATAGATTCTTGCCCTGACTTCTCTGGAAGACGGACTAAACTCAAAGCTGAAATAAACCAATTCCTCCCCTAGTTGCTTTTGGTCATGGTGTTCGATCACGGCAATAGAAACCCAACTAAAACAGTCATCTACAGGGTCTCAGCCTGAAACAGTCACCAAAGGCATTCTTTTCCAAGTTACCATCTTAGTTTTTTTAAAAATCTAAGCCAAGTTTGCACGCTACTCCAAAATATGCTACTTCGAATAACCAAATACACTTTCCTCACACGGAGGCATCTTTGCTCTAAGATGTGTTCTGTTTATTTTGCAGCTTTGCAGACCCGAGAGAAGCAACACTCCAGTGTGAGACAGAAAGGTAAGAGTACAGTGGCTTCTGCAGAGAAACACATTGCTGAAGTCATTGAGTTCGAGGCTAGCCTGGTCTACTTAGCTAGTTCCGGGCCAGCCATGGCTACACAGTGAGACCCAGCCTCAAAAATAAGTAAATAAATTTATTTATTCATATGCATGAATACATACATGCATGCATACATGCGTGTGAATTCAATCTTTGAGGCTGGGATGTGACTCCATGACACACCCTTAGCATGTAGCAGGCCCTGATCCCAGCTCTGTCACTCACTAGTTATGAAATTTCAGATGCAACTATTTAGCTACAGATATTGGAGCTTCTATTGCAAATGAGTTTAACTTGGCCACCGAAACAGAGTGGTGAGTTAGCAGACTGGAGAATTACCTATTAATCCTGTTTCTTGGTTTCCTCATCCTTCAGTTACTGGCAAGGCTTATGAGATGAGTAACCACTGACACAAGCTGGCACACAGCAGTCATTCAATTTGCGTTACAACAGACCTATCTTAACTTTTAATAAGGTGAGAACGAACCTTCTTTTTTCCAGGCTCATTGTTTAATAATTCAGGAAGCAATGAGCTGGGGAAATAGGTTAGTTCGTAGAGCACTTGTGAATTAATGAACGGGGAAATAGATTAGCTGACAGAGCACTTGTGAATTAATGAACGTGGGAAATGGGTAGAATACCTGTGAATTAATGAGCTGGGAAACAGGTTAGCTGGTACAGCATTGCTTTGCATGCCTGAAGCCCTGGGTTCGATCCCCAGTATCAGTGCACACCTGCAATCCCAGTACTTGGGAGGTAGGGTCAGGAGGATAAGAAATTCCAAGTTGGGTGGGTGAGGAGCTTGCTGGGCAAGCGAGATGACCTGAGTTCAATCCCAACACCTATGGGACAGCCAGGTGGAGCAGTAATCTCAGAGCTGGGGAGGCAGAGACAAGACGATCCCTGGGGCTTCGACCAGTCAGTCTAGCCCGACTGGCAAGCTATATGTTCAGTGAGACTCTCTCAAAAAATGAGGTAGAGAGCAACTGTGGAAGATATCAGTGTCAGTCTCTGGCCATTGCACGCAAAGCACTTATGCACACACACACATCAGCATGTATCCACAGATTCGACCAATAAGGATGGGAAGTGGGAGGGAAGAGAAGGGGGGAGGCCAGCGGAGGGACATGAGCTAGGACACAGCACAGTCATACACACATATAAAAATCCTACAACGAAACCCATTACTTAGTTTGCCAAAAAACTCCTTTTCACACTCAGCAAATAAAAGAGAGAAGGAGAGGGAGAGATCACCACATAGGGTTAACAGGAGGGGGAGAGATCACCACATAGGGTTAACAGGATGGCTCAGTGGGTAAAAGTGCTAGCTGACAAGCCTGAGGGTCTGAGTTCAATCCCCAGGACACACACGGTGGAAGGAAAGAATGGAGCTCGTTAATTGTTCTCTGAGCCGGGCGGTGGTGGCTCACACCTTTAATCCCAGCACTCAGGAGGCAGAGGCAGGCGGATCTCTGTGAGTTCGAGGCCAGCCTGGTCTACAAAGCGAGTTCCAGGACAGCCTCCAAAGCCACAGAGAAACCCTGTCTGGAAAAAAAAAAATAAAAGGAAAAGGAGGAGTAGGACCAGTCAGTGGTAGAGTACTCGGCTAGCATGTGTGAGAGACCCTAAATTCCATTCTTACCACCGCCAAGAAGAAAGGAAAGAAGGAAGGAGGGAAAGACGGGACAGGAAGTGGGAGGTAAACTATAGGGGTGCACACCCATAATCCTAAGGTTCCGAAGTCTGCAAAAAGGAAGAAAATGGCTGGACGATCTGGATCAGACCCCTCCAGTCCAACAAGATACTCGATCGCAGACACCAGAAAGGAGAAAGACTCCAAAGCAACAGGGCTTCATACATGGACGGGTGTGCGAAAGGTCACAGGCTATCGGGAGACGGAAGACTACACGAGGCAGACCGAGTCAGCTTACCAGTTTGTTTAGATTCAGGCCCCTAGAATTTGGGTCTCGTCCAATGGCCCAGAGCAGGCAGTCAACATCTGGAATCACGGTTGCGGTGGGTTTCCTGCCAGGAACAGCAGTAACCACGTGGAGTTCCAAGCCAGATGGCGTCTTTTTAACTTCCTTTACCTATTAAAAAAAAGTGTTACCTGTGTGTGGGAGGAAAGGGGTGAAGGTAGTAGGAGAGGAAAGATTTCCTCCCAGTACTGGGGACCGAACCTAGGGCTCCACTCACGCCAGGCAAGCACGCAACCACTGAACCACATGCTGCCTGCCCTCTTTCTGCTCATTTTGGGATGGGATCTCACTAAATTGCCCAGTCTGGCCTTAAACTTACTCCGTCGTTCAGACAGGCCTTGAACTTGTCATCTTCCTGCTTCAGCTTCCTAAGTAGCTGGGAGTTTAGACTTAAGCCACTAGGTTTAGTAAAACCAGAATTTTTGTGAATTTTTGAGATAGGATCTCAATCTATAGCCCAGACTAAACCTCAAAGTCATTATCAATTTTTCTGCACCAGACTCCTAAATGCAGGGATTACAAGCTTCAGCAGTTATATCCAGCTAGAATTTTAATAGTGTTTACTTATAGTTCAAACAGCCAAAGGCCATGGGCACTAAACTCGCAGAGCCAGGGCTGTTTCCTTGATTCTTGCCGGGAATGCTGCCAACAGGTGGTGGTCTGAATGAGAATGGCCCCACAGGCTCATGCTGGGTCCTGAGTGAACCCACAGGAATAAGGGTCCTGGAGGACGAGATGTCAAGGCGGAGGACGGGATGAGGAAAACAAGACAAGAGGTCCAGGACAGCCAAGGCTAGCCCAGCAGGGACCAGGAGGTCTATACGATCTGGTGATCACGACAGCAGGCTTATCAAGAATTACCACATCTTACATATTTCAGGGGAGAAATGGGACAGCGTCAGCAGAATCTACCGTACAATAAGACAAAGTTGTTAGAAGGCTAATTGAGCCAATGCCGCACAAAAAGAACATAGGATATCTCAAGTGTCACAGACCGGACACACAATGGTCTTGGGACTGATACCATAAGCCTTTAAGTGTGAAGAGTCGGGTTCCCAGAACCTGAAGCCACAGCTCCCCCGAGGCTCTGGCTTCAGATTATTACTGACCATGGCAAGCATAGTCTTGGTTTCAAACAAGGAACTACATTCCTTTACCATACACCAGGGCCTCAGGAAAAGCCTTGGATTGGCCTGGCTTCTGAAATTCACCCTATTTGGTGGAACTGTTTTGGGAAGGATTAGGAGGTGTGTGTGGCCTTACTGGAAGGGGTGTGTCACTGGAAATGGGTTTTGAGTTTTCAAAAGCCCAAGCCAGGCCTATCTGTCTGTCTGTCTGTCTGTCTCTCTTTCTTTCTGCCTGCTGCTTGTGGATAAGATGTAAGCTCTTTTTGGGGGTGGATTGTGGGGGGTAGAGACAAGGTTTCTCTGTGGATTTGGAGGCTTTCCTGGAACTTATTCTTGGAGACCAGGCTGGTCTCAAATTCACAGAGATCCTCCTGCCTCTGCCGACCAAGTGCTGGGATTAAAGGCGTGCGTCACCACCGCTGGCAAGATGTAAGCTCTTTTTATTTTTATTTTTTAAAATATGTACGCTCTTAACCACTGCTCCAGCACCATGCCTGCCTACCTGCTGCCACAATCCCCACCATGATGGTCATGGATGCCCGCTCTGAAACTGTAAGCAAGCCCCCGAGTCAATGCTCTCTTTTATGAGTTGGTCGACAGAACAGTAACTAAGACACCGCAGAAATCCTATGGCCTAAAAATACATTTCCACGGCTGGAGAGGTGGCTCAAAGACCTGAGTTTGGTTCCAAGCACCCATACTGGGCAAGCTCATAACTGCCTGCAAGTTCAACCTCAGAGGGCTCCAACGATACCTGCACTCATGTGTATGTGTGCGCGCACATGTGTGCCATGCCCATGGAGGCCAGAGAGGGTATCATGTCCCTTGGAACTGGAGTTACAATTGTGAGCTGCCGAATACCTTAAAGCAACGTCAGGTTGTTGGCAATGACAAACACAAAGTAAATGTCATGTCATAGTTGTTTGTTAGGTTATATAATTTAGAGACTAGAAAGCCTGTACATGCTTAGTAGACACACTCTTTTATTTCAAGTATGTGTAATCCAGTTGGTTATGACATGCAGTTATAGAAAGCATCCATATGGGTACCCAGCTCATCATTTAATGAAGGTCTCCAAGGCGATTCTAATGGAAATCCCTTCATTTTTGCATCCCCAAAGCACATTGTCATTTATTACTCCACTCCACATGGGCTATGCTGAAAGGGTTAGCACAGACCTGGAGAGGGCCACGCTCATGTTTACCAGGCTGAATCTCTAGGAAAATTCTACTGAAATTAAGTGATTTCCTGAGGAATACCGTACTCTATAATGCTTTGTTTAAACTGAATAAGACATATGCTTGAGAAATTGATTCGCTGCTATTTTTTGAAAAATCTGGATGTGAAAAGAGGTACATGAGGGGGCTGGGAAGACGGCTCGGCAGTTAAGAGCACTGGCTGCCTGACGTTCCAGAGGACCCAGGTTCAGTTCCCAGCAGCCATCAGGCGGCTCACAACTGTAACTCCACACTGTGGGGTCAGGCACTTTATTCTTCTGGTCTTTTGGTCACCACGCAAGCACACAGTGCACAGACATACTTGAAGGCAAAACATCAATAAACATTAAAGGAAAGAGAGGAGGCAATTGGATCAGAGAGAAGCAGGCTGAGCTGCGGTAGAGGAAGCACACGATTACAAAGGTAGCTGGGCGCCAGCTGAGGTCCACAGCTCAGTGGCGGAGCCCTTCCTCACGCAGGACCTTGCGTTCTACCCTTAGCCCTGGCCGCCTACCTGTGAGAACTTCAGCACCTCCACGCCAGCGTTCTCCAGCTCCTCAGTGCAGTTGGAACTGATGAGCGAGTCAAAGTTTCTAAGAACCTGCGTTTAACCGGGGCGGCAGAGACACCGACGTTGGGAAAGGAATGGAACTTGATTAAAGTCATGGCACGGACTTGGGAGAGCAGTCCCTGTCCTCTGTTGTCCCTCCTCTTACCGCCTCCTTCACTCATGCTCACCCTGGGGCAGGGCTTAGTAGAGCCTCTATTTGCCTACATCACCAACAGTGACTATGCCACATCTGGTGTCATCCACATCTATTTCAGAGTTCTGAAAAATGAACAAACTTCAGAACTCTATTATCTTCATGTTCTTCTATTCTCCTTCCTTCCTTCCTTCCTTCCTTCCTTCCTTCCTTCCTTCCTTCCTTCCTTCCTTCCTTCCTCCCTCCCTCCCTCCCTCCCTTCCTCTCTCTCCCTTTCCTTGTTTGCAGAATCTAGGGAAATTCTTGTGTAGTGGGGCTGGCTTTCCCTCCAGTCTCCAGGAAGGCTCTCTCAATTATCCTGGGAGAAACAGCAGCTAGATCCAACATTTTAAACCACTAGTAGAAGTGAATGGGGAAGGGGGGAGGTATGCCACAAAAATCTGGCAACAGTGAAAAGTTTCTGAATACACAATGACAGAAACTTAATTCAGAGTCAATGCACACTGAGTCTAACGGGGTTTCTGGTATGATCCCATTACATATTTCTACCATCCCTCCTTACCATGGAAGGGTCAAATTGTACTGTATTGCGTTAGAACGTTTGATGTTCAAGAATGTTGGCCTGCAAGAGCTGGCCATACTGCCTGTTTGAAGGTGTGCCTCGCAGGCTTGCATATTTGAACAACTGCGATCCACCTGTGGCGATGTCTGGGGGTGTGGGCTTGCTGGAGGACCAGCTTTTGCGAATGCAAAGCCTCGTGACTCTTCCAGTTCACTCTCTCTGCTCTGTTCGAGACTAAATTCTCAGCCTCCCGTTTTGGCCACCGTGAATGCCATTTGCTGCCACAGGCAGCATGGCATATTCCCACCTACACTCCCGCATACACATCATATATACCTAACAATAAAAAACTAAATTTAAATCTAAAAATTAGGTGATAACCGGTTTTTAAAACATAAGAAAGATGCTCCTCTAATTAGGAAAAAGGGGGGGGGGGAGGAGACGTGGCTGGCTTACCTTGTCATGCCTTATCATAAGAGATGTCTTGGAGCCCAGGGCGGAGAGGATGCCAGCTATCTCCACGGCAATGTACCCGGCACCCACAATGACACTGCGGCTGCCATGAAAGCAAAGGGTGACCGTTTTGTAAACTGACTTTGGAACGGCTTCAGATGCACAGACTCTCATGTTTCCCTTGGGCTCGTTGCTCAGTTTTCCCAAACAGTTAATATTTTATGAGTAACATGAAGACACATACCACAATCCCACACATCTGGAGGCAGAAGCAGCCTGGTATGAGTTCCAGGCCATCCAGAGCTACACAGCCAGTCATTATTCTCAAGCAGGTCAAAACAAAATCTGCCCCATAAAAGACAGTTACCTTGCTGGGCAGTGGCGGTGTACACCTTTAATCCCAGCACACCACTCAGGAGGCAGAGGCAGCAGGTGGGTCTCTGTGAGTTCGAGACCAGCCTGGTCTACAGAGTGACTACAGAATAGCCAAGGCTACATAGAGAAACTCCCCCCCCAAAAACAGAGATTTTTATTTGTCATATAAGTTCCTTATGTCCTATTTTTACTTATTTATTATTTGCTGGCTTATTTATTTAGAGACAGTCCCTGTATCTCAGTTGGCCAACATGTAGTACACTGGTCCCGAACCCCTCCCAATTTCTATATATAAATCTAACAGCACCATTATTTCCCAGGGCCGGGTATTTCTCCTCACTCATTATTCAATTCTATATTAATCCTTGTAGCAAGATCAAAGGCCAATTTACGAAAGTCATTTTAAGTCAGACATGGTGGCTCATGCCGGTAATCCCAGCATTTGGGTGGCCCAGACGGCAGTTGGACTCAACTTCCTGAATTCATTTTGGCTTAATAAAAGAGCTTAAGCCCCAGTTAAATGCTTGAATGACTGGATCAGTGGCTGAGGAACAGTGTTGCTTAAGGCTTACTTCCAGGCTGAGGCATAGAGAGTATCAGCCCCAGCCAGCGATTTCTGCTTCAGGTTGTCCAAGGTCCCCTCCTACTGTTGCAAAGAACAAAGGAACCGTCTTCCCGTATTTCCACAGACAAGCCAGCCTACCGAGGCTTCCTGGCCTGGCTGGAGGCTAAGGAACTCAAATGGCTGCAAAGGACTCTTACCCTAAAACACTGAGCACGATCAGAAGCTTCCACGCTCTTCAAAACCTGTGAGATAGCTCTTACTCCTATGCTGACCCCCTTCCTTTCCGTACGTCTCCCCCACCCCCACCTTTGCTTGTCTGCTTCCTCCTCTCCACCGTCTTTTTTTTTTTTTTTTTTTTTTTTTTGGTTTTTCGAGACAGGGTTTCTCTGTGGCTTTGGAGGCTGTCCTGGAACTCACTCTATAGTCCAGGCTGGTCTCGAACTCACAGAGATCCGCCTGCCTCTGCCTCCCGAGTGCTGGGATTAAAGGTGTGCGCCACCAACGCCCGGCCTTCTCCACCTTCTTTTCTGGATACCTACATTGCACTAGGCACTACACTTGACAGGATGGGTCACGGTCTCTGCCCTCAAAGCATCTTTTTGGTTGATGCTGACGGGGTGTGAACCCAGGGGCCCTTCCATACTAGATTCCTCTGCCACTGCTCTGTACCTCCAGCCTTAATTTAAAAAAAATGTTTAAAGACTGGCCTAGCCAACTGGCCATTAAATCTGTTCAACAGCCCAAGGGGTCTTGAATGTGCAATTCTACAGTTTCAGCCTCCAGAGGAACTGGGATTATAACTCCATTCCTAAGGCCTGGCCGGTGAAGAATTTCTAAGGAAAGAAACACACCCTGAAGTTCAGTGAGTGCTGAAGGGTGGAAAGCTCATAAACAGCCGTGGATTCCTGAAAGGTGGGGATGTTCCGAGGGGAGAGGCCCCATTCATGTGAAGAGGAGAGGCCGCCATCACGCGGCTTCTGAGAGCTGCAAGGAACCCAATGCTTCCCTTGGCTCCCACTAGCACTTAGTGCCACCTCCTGTCACGAGGGGTTCACTGAAAACGACTTTCTGTACTCCCACATCCCAGAGCAGCCCTTTTACCTCAGATGCCTTGAGAACCTCTGCCACAGCTTTCCAGAGGGTCAAGCTGCCCACTCCACCCAGCCACAGGCCCTCTGAGGGCAAAAACGGGATCATGCTGTGACTGTTACCCACTACAGCATTCTCTTTTTTTTTTTTCTTTTTTCTTTTTCCGAGACTGGGTTTCTTTGTGGCTTTGGAGGCTGTCCAGTAATTAGCTCTTGTAGACCAGGCTGGCCTCGAACTCACAGAGATCCGCCTACCTCTGCCTCCCGAGTGCTGGGACTAAAGGCGGGCACCACCACCACCTGGCTGCACCTACAGGACTTTCAAGAGTGTAATTTATGTTTTTTTTAATCATATAAGAGAAAAAGGAGTGAAAAAAATAAATCAACTAAGAAATAGCTTTGAGGGGGAAAGGCGACCTATATAGCCTAGGCTGGCCTTGAACTCACTATATAGCAAAGCTATCCTCCTGCCTCAACCTTCCAGTGCCCCAGGAATGTCACAACCAGATGCTCTGTTTCGAAACAAGGGTTGCTCCAGGTTACGTAGCTCAGCCTGGAGCGCCTAGGTTTCTGCCATTCTCCACTCTAGCCTCCTAAGCAACTGTGATTCAGGCAAAGGCACCACGCCCAGCTCCACGGTTAGTTCATTTCCTTTTGTTCTGAGCCTTTTCTTTTTAGCGTGAATAAATTCATCATTAAGCTATATTCATACCAGCAAAAGCTTATTACATAGCTCTAAAATATGTGATGGGTGAGTGTCTGTAATAAAGCTTTCCCAGGGGTGGGTCTGACCTGACTTACATTATCGTCCAACACAACTGAGTTCTGGCTGTTTCTGGACGCATGCTTACATCCTCCTATCTGTGAAGCCTGAACACACTTCAGGGTGGATGATACTGAGGCAGGGGAGTCAACCGAGACTCTTGAGTTCAAGATGGCACGAGCAACACAGAAAGCCAAGGGGCGAAGGGAGGCAGGGCAGAAAAGGGAGAGCACTGGTTCCCTCCATGGATACTGATGTCACGCCTGCTTACCTAGGCAGGTCCTCCAGCTGAAAAAACCCATCACTGGTTATTCCCAAACTGGCACCTATGGAGAAAAATACCAGAGGTAAAACGGATACACCATTTAACTCCTTCTTTTTTTTGTTTTTCGAGACAGAGTCTCTCTGTATTGCTTTAGAGCCTGTCCTGGAACTCGATCTGTAGAACAGGCTGGCTTCGAACTCACAGAGATCGGCCTGCCTCTGCTTCCAAATGCTGGGATTAAAGGCACACGCCACCAACGCCCAGCTTAACTCCTTTTTTTTAGTAAGGACTGAGAAAGGGTTACACATTGTAGTCTGGGCTGACCTGGGATTTAACTATATAGCTTAGGCTGGCCTCAAACTCATGGCAATCTTCCTGCCTCAGTCTCTTGGGCTTTGGGAACTTGGGGTATAAATTGCCACAGAAGCTATTCAAGAAGCAAACACTCCCTCAGCCAATGCACTGTCTTGACAGCTTTGTTAGACCTCTACTGGCAGCATGTCTTTCTGGAGTCTACGTCTTACATGTATCTCAGAAAACAAGAACAGTGATGGACAAGTAAATTCAGATTTCCCTGCAGGACCACGATCCAGCCAGCTGTCATGATTGCTAGCTTGGCTTTGCCTCCAAGGACTAAAGGAAGGAAACCAAGGAGTCAAGTCTTGGCCCCCTTCACTTTTTTAAACTTACTTTCTGTTTTTTTTTTCAAGGGACTCTCTCCATAGCTCTGGCTATCCTGGAACTTACTATGTAGACCAAACTGACCTCAATCTCACAGAAGAGCTGCTTGCTCCTGCCTCTGCCTGGTAATACTGGGAATAAGGCATTCGTTACCACACCTGGCTTCTGTCTTTTTCCCCCCAAGACTACACATATAGTAGCAGTGTTGGTTTCTCCTCAAACAGTCCAGCTCCACATTTACATCGGTGTTGCTTCATGATCTTCTTTCTGAAAGTTCCCCATATCTGAAACACTTGAGGCCAGAATTTCAAATTTCAGAATTTTTTTTCAGAATTGGGAATATGTCTACAGGGCATTTTCTTGATTAATGTGGGCTGGTGGTCCTGGGCTGTGGAAAAGCAGGCTGAAGCTGGTGGCAGTGGCGCACGCCTTTAACCTCAGCATTCGGGAGGCAGAGGCAGACAGGTCTCTGACAGTTGGAGGCCAGCCTGGTCTACAAAGCTACAGAGAAAACCTGTCTGGGAAGCAAGTCACAAAGCAGCAGTCCTCTATGGCCCTGCTTCGGTTCCTGCCTTGAGTTCCTGCTCTGACTTCCCTTCGTGATGGACTATATCTGTGAGGTGAAATAAACCTTTCTATCCTCCTCAAGTTGCTTTTGGTCAGAGTGATTTTTTTGTTTGTTTGTTTGTTTTTTGGTTTTTCGAGACAGGGTTTCTCTGTATTGTTTTGGAGGCTGTCCTGGAACTCACTCTGTACCAGGCTGGCCTCGAACTCACAGAGATCCTCCTGGTCAAAGAAATGCTAACCAAGACACGTTTTAGGAATGCAGCTCAAGATTAAAATGTACATAATAAACTGGGTGCCATGTCATAATCTTGTAATCCCAGCACAAGGGAAACGGAGGCGGAAGGATCAGGAATTCAAAATAGAGAGTGGACTGGAGTTTAGTCTGGGTTTCAAGGTCTATCTGTGTTAAGTACCTCACGCTAACCGACTGTGCTGCTAGAGCCAATCAAGACCTACCTGTGTGTGTGTGTGTGAGTGTGTAAGTGTGTGTGGGTGTGTGTGGGTGTGTGTGAGTGTGGGTGTGTGTGAGTGTGTGTGTGAGAGTGTGAGCGTGAGTGTGTGTGAGAGTGTGTGAGTGTGAGAGTGTGAGTGTGAGTGTGAAAGTGTGTGTGAGAGTGTGTGTGTAAGTGTGTGAGTGTGTGTGTGAGAGAGAGAGAGAGAGAGAGAGAGAGAGAGAAACACAAATTACTTTAACATTTTAAAAACTTTTTATACATGAAGTAGAATTTCCTAGGCAGAACTTCCTGCTTATGGTCAAAAAACTCTGGATATTGGAGCATTTCACATTTTTAGTTTTCAGAATATGGATGTTCAACTTGTCCATTTAGAATTAAATCTTAGTTTCCCAAACTATATGCCTCTTTCCATTTTAGAGAAAGGAAGTGCGTGCCCTGCCGGGATAAGCCAGACAGGACCCTGAGCTGTCGGTCTGTGATTCCTTCTGGAACACCTGCCTCCTCGTCCATACCTCCTCAGTTACTGGATACGTCCACCTTACCAAATCTAAGTACCATGAGCATACCCTGGCTGGTCTCCACGGTGAAGAGAGTGTTTGAAAATGTATCTTTACATCAGAGGTGTACAGCATCTGACCATCCGTGGGCTGTCTTCAGCCTGATCCCCCTAGTCCAAGCAGGGGGAAGCAGCAAGTGTCTACAGAATGGGGTGAGATTCCCCGTCTCAGTTCAGGTGACAGCGCCAATTTATCTGCCACCTCCTGCAGATCATTCTGTCTTCCACTAGGGGTCAGTCTCAAAGTCTCGCCTCACCCACTCACTGTCAGCTTAGTTTCTGGACGTCGCACAGACCTTGCTGCTGCTTGTTTATAAGCCAACAGTGATTTGCTGGGGTTACCCAAGTGACTTTGGCTTGATGAGACTCATGACTCCAGTGTAACCTAATTCTAGCCCCAACTCAGAGCACTTGCTTCAAGCGCAGTGCTGTCACACTGACTGCACTGGTTGAAAATCCTTCAGAGATGTCCTTATTACTCAGGGATTCTTCCTGCTCCTCTCTCAACACATAATCCTGACCGAGAGTCCCTTTCTTACTTGTCGCCCTGGATCGTGCCCGACCATACGGCGTCCCTTCTGTTCAAACACAATCCAAGAATGGAGTCCTGTGAAAATTCTGGATGCTTGTGAGAGAACTCCAAGGAAACAAGACAAGGGTCTTGCTACCTCAGTTTGTCTTCAAAACACAGAACTGTTCTTGGAAGGTGTTTTCGGGCTCCTCCCAGGTGTAGTGAATTTACTTCGACTGCTACTATTCATATGTCTCTATGGAATAACATGCTTTTGCCATGTGTGGCTCCTCCTTGTGACTGAACAACTTACTCGTGATTCTTCTTAGCCTTCAGAGTATACATTATCTGATGCTCTGAGTAAAGTTGGTTACTTCAGGAGACTTTAGTGCCCTCATTATTAGGCCCCACTCTCCCTGGTTCAAGCGGCTAATTAAAGCTGTAAACACCCACCTCGGGAGAGTCTCCGCCTTCACCGTCTGGCAGAGCATAGAACATGCACTTATTTTTATTGCCTTAATTAATGAAATAATGTTTTAAATCATTTAAAAGATGAGGTTGGGCCGGGCGTTGGTGGCGCACGCCTTTAATCCCAGCACTCGGGAGGCAGAGGCAGGCGGATCTCTGTGAATTTGAGGCCAGCCTGGTCTACAGAGCAAGTGCCAAGAGAGGCTCCGAAGCTACACAGAGAAACCCTGTCTTGAAAAATCAAAAACAAAACAAAACACAAAAAAAAACCTAGAACCCCAAAGATATCTGACTGTTTTGCCTAAGTGTATGTATGTGCACCATTTTTGTGCAGTGCCTGTGGAGGTCTAAAGAGGGCGCTGCATCCCCTGGAACTGGAGTTACAGAAGGCTGTGAACTACCATGTGGGTGCTGGAAACCGAACTCAGGGAGCACCTAGTGCTCTAAATGGCTGAGCCTGCTCTCTGGGCCATGTTTTGATTTTTGCACTGCTAGAAACTTACCAAGGTCTCACTTGGTTAAGTACTCTAGCACAGAGTTAGACAACCACAGGAATCTTGATCATCCTTGCCTTGCCATCGTAACCCACATCTTACTTCACTGACTTCACTTTCCAGAAGGAAAGCGTGGCTTCCTTAGAGTCTGCAGGGGACAGGGCTACAGCATTAGCCCAGAACCGCCAGCTCCTCGCCTGAATTCTTTGGGGGTATTGTATAGTTTTCTTCTTCTTCTTCTTCTTTTTTTTTTGGTTCGTTTGTCTGTTTTGAGACAGGGTTTCTCTGTATAGTTCTGGCTGTCCTGGAACTCAATCTATAGACCAGGTTGGCCTCAAACTCAGAGATCCACCTGGCACCACCAACGCCTGGCTTTGTCCGGTTTCTTTAGGACAGCAGGATCTCACTCTATAGCCCAGGCTGGCCTCATACTTAAGGACAAGCCTGTGTGTGTGAGAAAGAGCTGGGCAGTAGCAGGTACACATTACTGCTGTCTCATGACGTTCCTGCTGTTATGACTTCCCTCCATGACGGACTGCGATCTCAACTGTGGGCCAGACTAAACCCTTTCTCCTTGCTTTTGTCAAGAGAATTTTATCACAGCAACAGGAAATTAAGAAACTCACCATCCAAGACACATGGTATTATGAGGGAGAAAGGGTGACTAATGTGTCTTGAGCATGAATATGTCCATCTGTCCATGACTCACCTCTCGCTCTTAGCCCACCTCATAGACACACAGGCAGGGAGGACTACCTCCAAGGTTCATGACTAGTTTAATCTTTTACACCTTGCTATGTAAGAAACAAAAACCTGAGATGGGGGAGCTATTCTTTATAAGATGTCTCTCTCTTGAACAGTTACTGTATATTGAGTCTCAGAAATAGTAATTTGCCTGACAACCCCAGGCTGGCAGCACTCCGTACCACACACACCAGGAGTGAGAAGCTGAAGTTCTCCTTGATTTCTCTTCCTGAGTCCTGAGCTGGAATGAAACAGCTTTCTTTGGCTCATTAATTACTACGGACCCTTCTCAAGAGAGAAGCGGTGTGGGCAGGTCCCAAGATGTGGCTTGTAAACTCCCTGACCTCACTGGCCTCTGGAAGACTCACCTGGGATCTGGCTCTCGTGGGGAACTGTAGGTACGCCGCCTGTGGCAATCAGGATGTGAGGGGCAGTGTACTTTTTCCCACTGACTTCAACCGTGGGCTGAGGACCATCTGCAAATGCTGCATACCCATGGATGATTTCTATGTGGGACTGCAGAAGGAACGCTGGCATTAGCATAATCTTAAGACTTAACAAGCAAACACACACACACACACACACACAAAAAACATCTGGTTGGGAGCGCTGAGGCACTCCTACAACCCTGCATTTGGGAGGAGGCGGCAGAGGGATCAGGCACTCAGGGTCATCCTTGGCTATACAGCAAGTTCACAGGTTGTTTGAGCTATAGGAAACCCATCTCAAAAAACATCTATCTGCCTAATACATCAACTCCTTACTTCTTCACCAAAATATAGCCCAGGCTAGCCTCTAACCCAATTATGTAGTCGTGGATGACCTCAGAGTACTGGTTCTTCTGCCTCTACTTTCCAAGCATTAGAGTTACAAAGCTCAGCACCAGACTCTTGCAGCCCAAGTTTCCCTTGAACTGGCAATCCTCCTGCCTCAGCCTTTCACAGCTGGGATTATAGGTGAGCGCCACTGCACACCGCTCCACTCAAGAGTTTGATTTTGGATTTGTAAATAGTAAGATGGATTCTGTTGCCCACATTCTTAGACCTCCTTACTGGAAACTGATATTCAGAAGAACTCATTGCCAGTTAGTGCTGGATGCCAACAACAAGGAGAAATAATGGTGCCACCTTCAGCCAAAACCGAGAGAACAAAAAACCATGTCACTCCAAGGAAAGAGACAACATCTTTGATTCCAAGGGTTGAAGGTGAAAGTGATGTGGGATAATGTTCTTGTTCACTGTAAAGATCTGTCACCCATATTGGTTTAGTAAAATGCTGACTGGCCAGATTCCAGGCAGGAAGTATAGGCGGGGCTACCAGACCAGGAGAATTCTGGGAAGAGGAAAGGCAGAGACGGAGCCGCCAGCCAGACAAAGAGGAAGCAAGATGAGAATGATTTACTGACAAAAAGTACCAAGCCACGTGGCTAAACATAGATAAGAATTATGGGTTAATTTAGGTTGTAAGAGTATGTTAGTAAGCTGAGTGGTGGTGGCGCATGCTTTTAGTCCCAGTACCAGGAGGCAGAGGCAGGCACATCTATGAGTTTGAGACCAGCCTGGTCTATAAGAGCTAGTTCCAGGACAGCTTTCAAAGCCACAGAGAAACCCTGTCTTGAAAAACAAACAAAAAGAACAAACAAAAAACAAAAAAAGAGTTTGTTAGTAATAAGCCTGAGCAATAGGCTAAACAGCTTATAATTAATATAAGCCTCTGTGTGCTTATTTGGGACTGAACAGCTGCAGGACCAGGTGTAACAGACAATTCCATCAACATGAAAGGCTTCCTTACAATGAAAAGACACTAAAAGCTAGAGGAGAGGGAGACGAATAAGGAGGACAAGGGGGGAATAAAGGTGAAAGGAACAGACACCAGAGGAAATACTGGCCAAGAGGAAAGAGGAAACCTTTTGCTTTCTCTGGTGGGAAGAAACTTAAAAACAAACTACATGGAGATGCCCCTACTGTGGCAATTCTGAGAACACTAATGCTCGACTTGCTCTGAGCGGAACCCTGTACAAGGGGTCAATCTGAGGCCTGCCAGCAAGCTTCAGCCGGCTGTGACCTATGTGCTGGCACCCAAAGGCGGATTATTAAAAGCTAATGGAGGCACGTAAGTACGTTCACACAAAGGAATGAGTCAACATTTTGCAGCATGTCTGGTTCTGAACTCTTTCCTCCCTCCTCCTCTCCCCTCCAGGCCTGTTCTTGCAGGTGCCTGGCTTCATTCACTGAATTTCAATTCATGACAAACCCACAAGCATGCCTAACAGCCTTTCTTGGGGGACTGAGTTGTCACTGGGTAAAAAGGGCTGAGTGGTGACAGCAGAGACAATAGCTGAAAGATTTGCACTGCCTGCGACACGGCATCCAAGTTTCTGGGACTACAGGCGTGCACCGCCACCGCCCGGCTCATGTGTACAACTTGAGGGAGGGATTTAGAGAACACCGTGCTGGCCAAAGCCAGGAGCACACGCTGAAAACCCGGTGTCCATCATTTGTTCAGAACGGCTTCTCACAGACCAGATTCAGAAATGTAATTTTGTAAGTAAGTTCTTACCAAGAAAATTCTATATGGGTGTGTTTTTGCCTACAACAAATACTTGCCCCCGTCCCTCTCTTCCAATACCTTTTCTAAATTAAAGACCTATTTATCCTTATGTGTTTATGTGTATGTCTGTGTGCAGATGCCCACTGAGGCAAAGGTCCCCTGGAGCTGTAGTTACAGGCATTTGCGAGCCACCCGACATAGGTGCTAAGATCTAAGTCTGGGTCTTCTGGAAGAGTAGCAAGCCCTCTTAACCACCACACCATCTGTCCAGCACCCCTCCCACTTTGGAGGGTCTTAGAATGTAGCCTTGGCTGGCCTGGTGCTCACTGTGTAGAGCTAACAGAGATCTGCCTATCTCTGAGTGCTTGGGATTAAAAGCATGTGCCACCATGTCCATCTCCTACTGGAGTTTCTTTAACGGGACTAACCAAATTTTAAGAAAAAGATGGGCATATGAGATGGCTCACAATTAAGAACACTGGCTGCTTTTCCACAGGATACAAGTTCAATTCCCAGTCACCATCATGGTGACTGACAACTGTAATTCCAGTTTCAGGGGATCCGATGTTGTCTTCCGGCCTCTGCAGGCACTTTGCACGTATGATCAACATACATACATGCAGCAAAACAGCCATACACATAAAATAAAAATAAATAAACTCAGCATTTGTACAATATTTAGGCTTGGTGTGTGGCAGAACTCACCCCGATCTTAGAGTGACAAGGTTGGGGCTGGTAGAAGTTCCACAGAGAAACCCTGTCTCAAAACCACCTCCCAAAAGATGTATACATGAGGTGACACCCATTCTACGGAGCCTCCATATACTACCTGTTCTTTGTAGAAAAGAGACTGGGCTACTAGAGCAAAGGCTTCTGGTCAATAAAGTCAGCTTCAAAATTATTAACAGAAAAAAATAATAAGACATGGCTAGGAGGGGTGGTGGCGCACGCCTTTAATCCCAGCACTTGGGAGGCAGAGGCAGGTGGATCTCTGTGAGTTCTAGGCCAGCCTGGTCTACAGAGCAAGTTCCAGGACAGCCAGAGCTACACACACACAGAAAACCCTGTTTTGAAAAACCAAAAAAGAAATAAGACATATCCAAAGGCAACATTTTTTTCTGGTTACATCTGATGTCTCCTCTACCAAGTTCAAAGGCCAGCACACGCACCTTGGTCAAATTGTTCTGGTAGATGGTGTTCAGGCGGCTCACATAGGCATCACGCTTCTCCTTGATAACACTGTGAAGAGACCGAGTCAGAACTCAGAAACAGTATTTTCTGAAGATGGAAGTTTCTGTCCTGCCCGGTCCCACAGCTGTTTGGTCCCACATAAACACACAGAGGCTTATATTAATTATAAATGGTTTGGCTGATGGCTCAGGCTTCCTATTGGCTAGGTCTCTCTTAATTATTAGCCCATTTAAATTAATCTGTGAATCTCCACACTGTCTTGGCTTACTGGTGATGCCCAGACCTCTGACTTCCTTGGCAGCTACACGGTATCTCTCCTGTGCTCCTCCTCCTAGCTTTCTCCTAGTCTGCTCACCTCGCCTATACTTCCTGCCTGGCTACATCCTGCCTGTCCATTGGCCGAAACAGCTTTATTCATCAACCAATGAGAGAAACATATAGTCACAGCAAATAGAAGGACATGCCCCATCAATTTTCTTTCTTCACCTAGTAGCCAGCGTAACGGCTTCCATGACCACTGATTGTTCATAAGAACAAAGTGAGCAACTGTCTGAAGGCAGGTGTCCCGTGTCAGATGCTTCTCTGTGCTGCTCTTGCAGAGGACCCAAGTTCTATTCCCAGCTCCCATATGTCAGCCCACAACCACCTGTACATAAAATAAGTAACTTTAACTTGGGGCTGCAGAGATGGCTCAGGGGTTAAGAGCACTGGCTGCTGTTCCTGAGTTCAATTCCCAGCACTCACATGGTGGTTCATAACCATCTATCATGAGACCTGGTACCCTTTTCTGGTCTGCAGGCATACAGGCAGGTAGAACACTGTATCCATAATAAAATCTTTTTTAAAAAATCAGGCATAAGGAGAACATATGATTCTATTCAGTATCTAACACAGGTTAGGTCTGCTAAACAGGAAGCAGAACATGTTCCCACAGGCTGGTAGTGAAGTAAGAAATCAGGAGTTACTATTTAATGGCAATCATCGGGATTATGGGAAAGTTCTGGAAATTCCTAAGTGGTACTGTCTTATACAATGGTGTGTATGTGCTCAAAGTCAAACGTGTATGTGTATTTACAATAATTAAAACATCCAATTTTATGTTACACATACAGACACACATACACTAACATACTTATGGCAGTAGGGACTAAACCCAGACCCTTACATAATCTAGGCAAGAACTCTGAAACTAACCTACACGCCCAGCCCTGTACATACTTGGACACGGTAAACCTCCACCACTCAAAGCAAGACTGGGTTCCAGAAACCCCTTCTGTATAAATGGAACCATTTGGGCATGAATACTTACTGCCAATTGAATTTACTCTCACAACTCTGAAAGCCATAATCCATGTGATCGTGCATGAATTCTGAGTGGACAGCTGTGTTCCACATTACCTATTTAAAAAAATATCCAATTTAGTCACACTTGCATTCTGTAGAAAGACAAAAATCTGTAACAAGTAAAAACAGTGACCTTGGAGATAAATAACAACTAAATACATTAGGAGAGAAGATCTGGGATCTAGCTAAATAGATTTTATAATAAGGATTTGGAAATTGAGAAAAACGGCACCTACCATGAACTTACTGAGTCTATAAATATGATAAAAAGTAGAGTATTACTGGCCACATAATTGTTCCTCTAAAGTTTCTTATGATTGTTTATGCTTTTTGTTTACTATTGCTCTTACCTCTCTTTTAAATTCTGTATTTTTTGTAAGCTTTGCCCTTTATCATTTACTTTCAGGAAATAGAATACAGCTTAGCTTTGCCAGTTTACAATGTAGAAGAAAAGGCACAAGGTAATTTGAGAGTTTCAAAGTTAAAGGTTAACAAATCCTATTGTGCATCCAGTAACGTATGTGACCAGACACTTTAACAGAGGCCACATGCACCTCTGTGGAATACAGCCCACACTCTGGAGGCTGTTTATGCCGAGTAAGCATCAAAGTACAGTTCAAACTGGCATCCAGAATCTAGACAACAGACAACCACTTTTAGCCATTTTATCTGTCACATTAATGCATATGGAGGATTTGTGGCATTTGCCAATGCCACAAATTACGTTAATAAACATCATCACTTTACCTTAGGTCATCCTGCAGTATTACACTTACTTACCTCCATGTCACATTATGTACCACACAGTTGCACTAAACACCGTCTGGAGAGCGCCTCTCTGTCAACCGCTGCAGGGTTTTCAGCTCAGACCCATTTAGCACAGCAGCGGCAAACTAGGCCCAGCCTCTAGTTCCTGGCTACTGCTCTTTCAGTCTGCCCTTCTGACAAGTTATTTCAGGCTGTTGTGCTAACTAAGAGGCAATTATCAGGGTGCAGAGGAGCCTGCCTTTAGTCCCAGCACTCTGGAGGCATAGGCAGATCTCTGCAGGTCTGTGGACTCCACCACATTGGCCTGTAGGTTAAGACTGTGGGGCAATTTCTTGACCAATGATTGTGGTGGCTTGAAAGAAAATGACCCCCAAAAGGAGTGGCACTATTGGGAGGTGTGGCCTTGTTGGAGGAAGTGTGTCACTGTCGAGGCAGGCTTTGAGGCCTCACACATGCTCAAGCCACAGCAGTATCACAGAACTCCCCAGCACCATGTCTGCCTGCGCGCTGCCATACTCCCGGACACCATGATGACAACAGACTGAACCTCTGAACTGTGAGCCACCACCTCAATTACATGTTTTCCTTTATTTTTATTTATTTTATTTTGGTTTTTCAAGACAGGGTTTCTCTGTGTGGCTTTTGGAGCCTTTCCTGGCACTTACTCTGTAGACCAGGCTGGCCTCAAACGCACAGGGTTCTGCCTGTGTCTGACTCCTGAGTGCTGAGATTAAAGGTGTGCACCACTACCGCTAGGCTAACATTTTCCTTCGTAACAGTTGCCGAGGTCATGGTGTCTCTTCACAGAAACCTAACTAAGAGTGTCTGACGTCAGAGGGCCCACCTGTATAAGAGAGCTGGCCAGTAAGCAGTTCCGCCATGGTCTCTGCTTCAGTGCCTACCCTGACTTCCCTTTATGATGGACCGTGAGCTGTCATCTGAAATAAACCCTTTCCTCTCCAAGGTGCGTCTGGTGGTGGGGCTTATCACAGCAACAGAAAGCAAACCAGGACAATGTGTAACTGGTATGTTTGGAGACACCCTTATTCTGATCATGATTTACTAAACATGAACAAGGAGTATCGAGGGAAGGAGAAATTAAACATTTACCTTTTTGGGGACGCATCCGACATTCACCTAGGGAAAAGAAATTTAACGGACACAGGTTAAGAATGGTCAATCTGAGTCATCCAAACATCTGCAAGAATGAATGGCAATGATCACACAGAGTCACTCCCAAGGCCAGACAGTTACTTCCTTTTCCTACCACAATTGGAAAGGCGTGTGCGCTCCTCGTGTGACAGCACAGAACACTTTTATCCATTTTTCTCAAAAGGGGGGAGGGGCAGTGAGAAGACAAAGGGCAATAGGGCCATTTAAGCAAGGAGCTTAGGCCATCTCTGTGAACTCAGGTGGCCCAGCACACTCTAGGCCTGGCCATAGATCCCAGCACTTGGGAGGCAGGCGGCTCTCTGGGAGTTTGAGTCTAGCCTGGTCTACGAGGAGAGTTCCAGGAGAGCTAGGGCTACACAGAGAAAGAAACCCTGTCTCAAATATATAAATAAAAGAGAAAGATTAAAAAGAAAAGTGAGAGGGAGGCAGGGAGAGAGTGAGGGAAGAAGGGAGGGAGGGAGGGAGGGAGGAAGAAGAAACACATTCTACACCTCCTTCTCACCCCACCTCTGACTTGCTAGTAACCTCTGAAACACTAGAATGCTCTGACCCACTTGGACCCATTGCGACTTTACTCCTCACCTAAGTCTGAAGCAACTTTGAGCACGGGTGGTTTAAAGTGTGTGGGCAGGGTGCTGATGCATGCCGTTACCCTGGGAGGCACTGGCAGGACTACCATGATTCCAGGCTGGGCTACATGAAATCCTAAACTTAACCAACGAAAAAGTCTGGAATATATGCTTCAGGTTAGGGTCAAAGATGGCCAGACCTCCATTACTAACTGCTCAGGTCTACCTCGTTTATGTTAAAGATGTTTCTGTTTTTGTTTTTTTTAAACTTGGACCTATTCTTTCATTTCAGAATTCACCAAGCATCCGCTTACCAGGCACCGTGCAAGGTAACGCCCTATGTGGATCTAATCCCAGAGCTTGTGGGGTCCCCCAAGCTCTGAACTCATCTAAGGTGTCCACGCACTCAATCAAGAGTCTAAATGGAGAGGGTGACAGAAAACCGCAACCTTCTTGGGCCAGAGAATCTGCACTTCAGTGTCCCTGTACACACTTTAGAGCCCGGGGACGAAAAAGAGGGCCGAGATCCTGAAACAGCTCTTGTCCTATTTTGGCAGCTCTAGAGGAACAGGCTTCCAGAGGTATTTGCTGGTTTTGGAAACCAAGCCCCACCCCTATCAGCACGACGGCAGACACCTCATTGACTTGGGAAGAAGTAAGGACAGCCAAGGACCACCAGACCTGGAGAGACTGGGGCTAAGGAGCTCTGCACATCCGGCTACACACACTCCTTCCTCCTGCTGGCCTTCCTGCTTCCCTTCTCTAGCTGATGTATACACATTAGGTCTGGCCGCAAGACGTGAGTCCACCAGACACCTTGGTGCCTGGTACACCCACAGTCCTAATAATTGAAGGTGGCAGTAGTAGGATCAGGAGATAGAGGCCGGCAGCATCTGCTGCGTGGTGAATTTGAGGCAGGCCTGGGCTCCATGTGGGTCTGTCTCAGAAAAGAGAAATTTTAATGTGAAAGTATGTCTGGAGAGATGGCTGGGCAGTTAAGAGCACAGACTGCTCTTCTGGACCACCCCAGTTTGATTCCCAGCTCGCAGGTCAGGTGACTCACAACTAAGTGTAATTTTGTGGCTCCCAGGGGCATCTGACACCTCTGATCTCTGCGGGCACCTCCCCGAAATCACACACACATTTAAAGGCTGAAGAGATGGCTCAGCAGTTACGAGCACTGGCTGCTCTTCCAGAGGTTCAATTCCCAGCACCCATATGGCAGCTCACAACTTGCTTAGAACTCTGATTCCAGAAATCTGACACCCTCACACCAATGCACATAAAAATAAAGCTAAATTAATAATAAAAAATGTAAAAAAACAGCTGGGCATTGGTGGTGCACGCCTTTAACCCCAGCACTCAGGAGGCAGAGGCAGGCAGATCTCTGTGAGTTCAAGGCCAGCCTGGTCTGCAGAGCGAGTGCCAGGACAGGCTCCAAAGCTACAAAGAGAAAGCCTGTCTGAAAAAAACAAAAATAAAACAAAACAAAAAAGTAAAAAACAGATGACTCATTTTTTTAGTTACCTCCCAGCTACAGGGAACAGTAGTTTACTTCTGAACAAGCTGCTTGTTTGCCCTTCAAAAACATTCTTTTTTAAAATAAAAACATAGAGTCGGATGGTGGTAGTGTGCACCTTTAATCCCAGCACTCTGGAGGCAGAGGCAGGCGGATATCTATGAGTTCAGGGCCAGCCTGGTCTACACAACAAGTTCCAGGACAGGCTCCAAAGTTAAATAAATAAATAATAAAATAAATAAAAAATAAATAAAAAATATAGTAATATCACTGTAGGACAGCCGATCAACAAGGCAAATGGCCAAAGTTCAATGTTACTTGTTACCAACTCCAACCAGCTCCTCACTTTACAACCTCCTCTTTACTGTCTCATTTATGACGCTCTAAATCCACAAAGCAATGAGGGCAATTTTCTGTTTTTAAGGAGAACCTATTGGTACCAAAGGAAATGAACTTCCTTCACACTGGGCTGTTTAGAAAGCCGCATTGAGAAATCGCAGTGCATGCTGCTGACCATAGTCGAGGCTCTGATCTGCATGCTAAGTCATTGTTTGCTGACTAGATGAGCCGTCCTTTCCCTGCCCTGCCCTGTGGGTTTCTCTGGCAGCACTGTGCGGCCCAGTTCGAGGTAACTTTGCCAGTCAACCCTTAGCACCCCTTCCTGGCAAGAGGTACCCACCCCCACAAGAGCTGGGCTCATCTCAGTGCACGCAGCAAACATTGGAGTGTGAGCTCCCTCCCTCCGGGCAAAGGAGTGGTGGACCAGAGTGCCCTTCTCTTCTAAGGCCTGCTTGGGGAGAGGACGCCCCCTTGGGACGCGTGATCAGGGGGAACTCTGGTTTGAGCTTTTGAGACACTTTGAAAGTGAACTCAAAGATCATCTCTAACGTGTTTCCTCTGGCCTCGGGAATAACTGCAGCGCACTGGGCAGTAAGGGGTTATCTTTATTCTAGGGGGAAGATCCTGGGGGAAAGGATACAGCTTCTTTTGGTTATCTCCCATCCCCCACCCCTAGCTGTTTTGCTTTTGTTTTTAAATCTAATCCAACACCCCGCAACTACATTTGGTTTTTGTTTGTTTGCTCGCTGAATTTGGAAAATTGAGGACGAACTCCAGTGGACCCATGCTATTGGGTCTGTGAATGTTTTCCTCTGTGGCTAAGCCTAGCAGCAGCTCTAGGTCCCACAGTTTTTAATTCACTGCAGGACGAGGCAGCCTCCTAGCTTGCTTCTTACCACATCTCTCACCATCAAAGCCTTAAAGAAACAGATCCTATCAAAAAAAAAAGTGAGCCCTGAATGGAAGAAAATGCCTATCATTCCAGAGGCTAAGGCAAGAGGATGGCATATTTGAGGCCAGCCTGGACCACAAAGTAGGAGCCTGTCTCAAAAGATCAAAAATGTGCTCGGCGGTGGTAGCACAGGCCGTTAATCCCAGCACTTGGGAGCAGAGGCAGGTAGATCTCTGCAAGTTCAAGGACAATGCTTAAAACCTTTATGACAGGGCTGGAGAGCACTGGCTGCTCTTCCAGAGGACCTGGGTTCAATTCCCAGCAACCACATGGTGGCTCAGAATCATCTGTCATGAGATCTGCTTCCCTCCTCTGGCCTGCAGGGACATATGCAGATGGAACAAACACTACACATAATAAATCAATCGGCCTAAACAACAACAACAACAACAAAAACACAAACCTGCATCACATCACAGATCGACCCGTAGGACACACTGAAGCCATGATTCCTAGGGCCAATGTCACAGGCCACAGCACACTTACTTGAGCTGACAGTCTGCTCCTTAGTAGAGCAAAAGGGACTGGACAAAACGATGGTCCCTGTCTTTATATTAGGATCTACGTGAAATAAAACTACGGGGGCCCAGGCAAGCGTGGGGTGGAGAGGCGGGAGAGTAAGAGAAGCAGAGCAGCCCATGTGCTGAGAAGAGGAACGGGCTGGTGTGAGTGGCCCGCACTGTCCCAGCCGAGCTGCCGCCATGGGTCACGTCTGGGTCTGTGGCCCTACTGCAGCTGGAGTCTGTTCTGTCTGTCCTGTGTTACCACCAAGGGCCAGGTGGATTTCTGGGCCTCAGTCAGAGGCCATATGATCTAAGGGGCCTGAGCTGCCACTTGAGGCTGTGACGTCTCGGCTGGGGCTGAGGGCCATGCCAGGATCCCTGCTCCTACTGCAGCCGGGGTCTGTGCTGATGTCCACGGCCCGTGTCACCACCAAAAGCCATGCAGATGTCTGCAATCCGGGATACTGCCTGAAGCCACTTGATGGCGGAGGGTGGTGCTGGGCTGGCCCGGCCCCTCACTGGTAGTGGGGGAGTTGGTCCAGCAGGAGAGTGGAGTCTCAGTGAGGGTCCAGAATTGATGATGTAGCAGAAGCCAGAGGCCTTGAATCAGACCAGCGACTCATTACAGCGAACATCTGCAAGCCAAGCTGTTTGGGCAAAATCATATACTATGTGACACACTGCAGCTCTCGAGGCCATTTGAATATGTGATGGAGGCTTGGGAAAGAAAGAGGATCCAGTGTCACACGGCTGTGACTGGTATCAATAGGAGCAGAGGGGTCCTCACGTTGGTTTTTGTTTGTTTTAAATTTTGTTTTATTATTTTAAATTTGTATTTATTTTATTTTACTTATTATTTATTTGGTTTCTCCAGACAGGTTTTCTCTATATAGCCCTGAGTGTCCTGGAACTTCCTCTGTAAACCAGGCTCACAGAGATCCACCAACCTCTGCCTTCAGAGTACTGGGATTAAAGACATGAGTCGCCACCACCTGGCATTTAATTTTTAAACTTCCCTTAATTTAAAATTTAAAATGTCTAAATTTTGCTGGGGGAGGCTACAGACGTGGAAGGATTGGGAAATGAATGGGAACAGGGGACATGATGTGATTTCCCAAAGGATCAATTTTTTAAAATTATGTTAAATATAAATCTTTTTAAAAATCAAAAGCAGCCGGGCGGTGGTGGCACATGCCTTTAATCCCAGCACTTGGGAGGCAGAGGCAGGCGGATCTCTGTGAGTTCGAGGCCGGGCTGGACCGACAGCCTCCAAAACAACACAGAGAAACCCTGTTTCGTAAAACCAAAAAAAAAAAAAAAAAAAATCAAAAGCAAACAAACAACTTGGAAGGTTCAGGCATTACATTGACCTGCCATGTTGCCTGGCAGAATGCACTCAGGCAGCACTCTGGCCAGTCCAGAGTTCCATGACAACCAGTCTGCAAGCAGGTGCAAAGAACCCCATTAAAGGATAGACCCCTGCCTTCTCTCTCTCTCTTTCCTTCCCTTACTCTCATTGTATCTCTCTCACCTTACTCTCTCTCATGTCTGTTTCCACCCTTTTGGTGTCGCTATAATAAACTACGATTAATATGCTCTCCATGGCTTGTGCTCTGTCTATTCTGCCGGTCCTGGTTCCCTAATTAACAACACAACCTCACAACCTATAGTCATACAGGACTGATGAATCTCCAAAGATCAATTCCAGCCTTATTGCCAATGATCCCAAACATTCACATACAAAAAAAAAGTTAAGCCAAAAAGCAAGAAAAACAAAAACAAAAAACAACAATAAAAAGCCTATCACCACCAGCTCCCATAACATGTTTTTCCCAGTTAAAAGCATGGGCCACTCTTGCTGAAGACCAATGGATGGTTCCCAGAATCCAGGTTGGGCAGTTCACAACCGCCAGTAATTCTGGCTCTTGGGGAATCTAGCCTCTGCGGGCACCAGCACTCACATGTACACACCATCCCTTAAATGCACACATACATAGCTACAAAATAAAAATGAAGTTTTGTAAAACTCTGTAGGTACCAGGCATGTGTGTGGTGTATATGTACTCATGGAAGCACTTAACAAGTAAACATTATACAACACCATCACCAAAAACCAGACCAATCCCACGAGGTGGTTGGCTGTATTTGGTCTCATCACATTGCAAGTTCCATGAAGAAAGGGACCTTTGTAGAAAAAATATTTGTAGCTACACTCTTCCTTCTGTCTTATTCAATCTAAGAACCCAAGACATGAATAAAAGCCTCTATTTTCCCTGCACATGCTTGGAAGTTTCTTTGTGCATTAAGTTCCCTATTGCAATTCTAGACAGACCATGTAACTGCACTCCTTGGGCAAATCTAAACCCATACCTGACCTTTGGTTACATTCTCTGATACTGGCTGCAGCCCTACCATGTTTTGTAATTCAAAGCCAAAAGCTACTTTGAGGAGATTCCCAAAGCTACACCACCACAACAGCACCGGATGTTCCAGAGACGTCACTGCTTAGGTGGAAATGGAAGCTCTTTGCACAAGGATGAACTGGGCAGGGCCAGGTGTACCACAGGCAGCAAATAATGTCATTTCAAGCTGTCCTTTGCTTATTGTCTTCACCTTCTTAGTGGGGACCCAAACCCACCAGCTCCTTATTTTATCACTGCCAGTAGAACCAAAGTGACAGCAGACGTCACAAGTCCTTGGTGATATGAACAAGGAAGGAGGAAAGCATAAGCCTTGAGAGAAAGGGCAGAGCTCCCACCATTTGGGAAGGGCAGAGGGCAGGTTCAAAGTGCACGTGTCATTCATTAACAGTGACTTTTCCTTTCTCTTAATGTCCCCCCTCTTCCGACAGTGGCTTGAACCTGCTCACAGCTATTCATCTCTAGTTTCATTTATTTCACCAGCAGCTACTGAGCAAGGCAGGCATTGGAAGGTAACAAGCAGCACACAAATTAGGAACCCATCCCTGTCCCTAAGGCGTTCCCAATTTAGTATCATTTAAACGTCAGTCTTCAAAAGCATCGAGAGAACCGATTCCCCAATCTCGGTGACTCTTAGGTTCAGCATTTTCAGTCACCAACAAGAACTCTGCCTAGATCTTGTGATAGGAAAAGGTCACACTAATGTGGGTACGAGACTATTTTTAAAATATGAACTTTTCAATCTACCTCTCCCCTCTCTCCTTGTAATTTGAAAACCTGCCCCCAGACAATGCAAAACAAACAGTATCATAAAGTTCTGAGAAACTCCTTAAGATTTCTCTTAAAGTAGCCTGTCGTCCACAGCGTTGACTTCAGCTCTGATGCAGTTTCTGAATTTGCTAACACACGCAGCGCCTCTAGCCACAGTCGGGAGCCTCGGATGCCCGGGAACACCTGCAACAGAACTTTAACTCTCCAGGGGGTTCCGGTGCGCAGCCAAAATTGAACACTACTGTTACCCATCTCTCGGCCCTTAAAATAGAAACGATCGGGTCCCCATTCCTCAACGCTAAAGCCCTCCCCTTCTCCGCTCGCCCACGCCACTAGCAGTTCCCCGGAGGCAGTTTCGTGTTTCTCTGGCTCCGGCGCCAAACGCAATACTCCGCCGTATGGAGACGCATGCCGGGCAGCTGAGCTGGGCTTAAGTGTTTAGCACTGCACCTGTGCTGCGTGGCGGGCTCGCTCGCTTTATTCTCTTTCCCGCCATCTCCCGGGACTCCGGGGCCTTGGAGCGAGGAAGCCCCCGGGACGCGCGCGCAGAGGCCGGGAGCAAGCGCGCTGCCGACGCGGCCCGAGGGCCCCGATACTCACGCAAGTGCCACCCAGCTTGTGACTCTCTATGACCGCGGCCCTGGCTCCGAGCTCCGCCGCCCGCCGCGCGCTGGCCAGCCCTCCCGAGCCACCGCCGATCACCAGGTAGTCGAAGGAAACGGTGGCGGTGGCGGCGGCGGCCGGGGTCTGCAGCTCGCCGGTACTCGCCATGGCGCAGGTGAGCGCGTGCACCGCCCGCCGCAGGCTCGTGGCCGCGCCCACGCTCAGTGCCCGGGGCAGCAGCGCCATGCGCGGAAGTGCGCGCGGGGAGCGGGTGCAGCGTCGGCGTGACTAAGCACCCGCGGCGGGCCGGGGGGGGAGGGAGGTCCGCTGTCCCCACCCTTCGATCAGCACCCGCCCCGCAGCGCGTGGATCGCAACCAAGCAGGCGAAGGTTTTGTTTTTCCCCAGCTTTCCCGGGACCTGCTCTTGCACTGCCGAGCCCTGTTAGGCCTTGACTCACGTTCAGAATCTCTGGGGGCAGGAGGCAGGAATTTAAACATTTTAAATCCGCATTCTTTTCCTCTTTAAGATGATTTTAGGGCACTTGTACTTTTTAAAAGGCTGGGATAACGAGTTGAGTGGCAGAAATGATTTTTGTGATCCACGGATGGAGCTTAAAGACAAAGGCCAAGCCGTGGGAGAGAGATTGAGTTGGAGCTGCTAACTATACCGGCCAAGCTCTCAGGCAGTCTTTGGGAACAGTGTACAGGTCACATGAGCATAAGGCTGGCTGGGAATCCACCGCAAAGAAATGAGGAACACTAGGCCCCTAGGCTCTGCACACCAATCAGAAGGCACCGAATTAGAATATTATCGCTCTTTTTTTTTTTCTTCTTTTCCTGCTTGAAAAGTAATATGACTTGGGAGTTGGAGGTAGGAGGAACCTGGATTTAAGGCCAAGGAAGAAAGAAGATTTTTTTCCTTATAGTATAGTACCCGGTAATAAATGTAGACAGAGTAACAGCGAGAAAACATTGTCAAGGTCACAGTGAAATCGGCTCTGTTCCGAACCATCAATGATTATTAAAACCACTGGGTTAAAGTTCGATGGGGATAAAGTTATATGAATACATGAAGTCATAGATACATATAAACACACACAGATTCCTTCTTGATCTAAAATGGAAAGGGCACTATTTCTGCAGGCAATACCTTATCCAAAAGATCACGATTACATGCTGCTAAGTAATGAGAAAGGTGCTGTTGTGAGGCAACCACAAGTATTCAATCTTGCTTACACAATCACCTTGCTGCTTAAAAACCCAGGGGCTGGAGAGATGGCTCATTACTTAAAGAATACTGGCTGCTCCTCCAGAGGAGCGGAGTTCAACTCCCAGCTCCCACACATCAGCTCACAACCACAAAGGAATTCCACAAGAGCCAGGGCTAAATAATAGAGCGATCCTGTCTCAAAATCTAATCAAAGAGTGAATAAGAGAGAGAAAGAGAAAGGCAGATAGGAGAGACTGGATTTAGACCTCAGAAAATATATCCAGAAGAATTAAGAAGCTAGGCAATGATGTTGGCACAGGCCTTTAATCCCAGCACTCTGAAGGCAGAGGCAGGCAGATCTCTGTTTGAGGCCAGCATGGTCTATAGAGCGAGTTCCAGTACAGCCAGGGCTACATAGAGAAACCTTGGTCTTGAAAATAATTAAGAAAAATAAAGATCAGTGGCAAACTCTTTTCATACCAGCTTCTTGGAGGATGACAAATTTGAGGAAACCTATGCCACATAACAAGACACTGTTGCAAAATATGATGGAATAGAATGCTTTTCATCTTAAAGGATGGTGGAATAAGAATATTCCTCTAAGCTCAAAAGTCAAGAAGTGGCCAGGTATATATCACATGCCTCACAACAAAGAAGCAGGAGGATCTCTGAGTTTGAGGGTGGCCCTGTCCCAAAAAAATGAAAGAAAAGGGCTGGAGATATGGCTTAGTGTTAAGAACATTAGCTGTAGCCGAGCAGTGGTGGTGCACGCCTCTAGTTCCAGCACATGGAAGGCAGAGGCAGGTGGATCTAGGTGAGTTCGAGGCCACCCTGGTCTACAGAGTTTTCCAGGACAGCCAGGGCCACACAGAGAAACCCTGTCTCAAAACAAAAACCAAAACAAACCAAAAACCCAAAACCAACCAAGCACACAAACACACACACACATTCTCTCTCTCTCTCTCTCTCTCTCTCTCTCTCTCTCTCTCTCTCTCTCTCTCTCTCTCTCTCTCTCTAAAATAAAATAAACATTGGCTGCTCTTCCAGAGGATCCCGGTCTGGTTCTCAGCACCCACAAGGCAGCACACAACTTGCTGTAACTCCAATGGCTGGTGCCCTCTGGCCTCTGTGAGCTGGGCATATATATGCAAAACACCCATACACAGAAGAGAAAAATGGAATAAAAAGGAAGAAAGTAAAAGATCATGACCTAAACAACACTCTGCTAAAACCATCCCCCACCCCTTTTTTTTCTTTTGGTTTTTCAAAACAGGGTTTCTCTGAAGGTTTGGAGGCTGTCCTGGAACTCTCTTTGTAGACCAGGCTGGCCTCAGACTCACAGAGATCCTCCTGCCTCTGCCTCCCGAGTGCTGGGATTAAAGGCGTGCACCACCAACGCCCGGCCAAGAATTTTTTTTAAGACAGGGTTTCACTATGTAGCTCTGGCTAACCTGGAGCTTGCTTTGTGAACCACACTTGCCTCAGATTCACAGAGAGCCACTGCCTCCTGCATGCTGAGATTAAAGGTGTGTGCCACCACACCTTGGACTTCTCATACTTTTTAGAACTAGCACACAAAATAACAGGTTTCTCTATAGTACGCCCATAGATACTTTGTTATGGTTGATTTGACCATTTTTCCTTCTTGGCATACCTAAAGTGGTATTTATTAATCCCATTATCTGTCACTTGTAGACTTTTTTAATCTTCAAAATTACATTTATTCCTTATATTTTTGGTTGTGAACCTAGCCTTCAATGACTGAACCGTCCCTCCAGCCCTACATTTATTTCGTGTGTGTGTGTGTGTGTGTGTGTGTGTGTGTGTGTGTGTGTGTGTGTGTATACGTACGCATACGCATGTATAAGTACAATGTTTGCAGTTTGGTTTCTCCTTCTACCATGTGGGTTCCAGGGCTAAGTATAGGTCATCAGACTTGGTAATGTGTACCTTTACCCAATACTTTTAGCTATTTCCTCAACCCAGATCTTTCCTGATGATTACTTTTTCATTCTATGTGTTTCTTTTTCCACTTTTTAGAGCATGTAGATATTATTTTATTATTTAAAATCTGAGTAGAAATATTGAACAAAACTAAGTTTTTTTTTAAAGTTTTTTTTGTCTTTTTAAAATGCTGAAGGTTAGGTGCTTGCGAGCTGTCTCAGTGGTTAAGAGTACTGGTGGCTCTTCCAGAGGACCTGGGTTTGATTTCCAGCACCCACATGGAGGCTCACAACTATCTGTAGCTCTAGTTCCAGGGGATTCCACACCCTCTTCTGGCTTCCACAGGCACTAGGCACAGAAGTGGCACACAGACAAAATTGCAAACACCCATACACACTGAAATTAAATTAAAACAAATTAAAACTATCTCTTTCCCACTGCTCCTCTGAAGAGGCAGGCAGTGCTCCCCCCCTTTCCCTTTTTCCCTCCCTCCCCCTTCCCATAACAAAACCTCCCACATTCAAGGTTCCACACTTTAATCCCAGAACTTGGAGGGCAAAGGCACGTGGATCTCTATGAATTTGAGGCCATGAGTTCCAGGCCAGCTAAGGTTAGGAGATGGCTTGGTGGTTAAAAGAACACTACTTCAATTCCCAGGACTCACATCAGGAAGCTCACAACAGCCTGTAACTCTAGCACTGGGAGGTCTGACGCCTTCATCCTTCTGGAGTACCCACACTTAAGTGCATACCCTGACACACAGGCACACACATATAAACACACACCTGTGATTTAGCATAAATAAACTTAAGATGCCCAGCAATAGTGGCACATGCCTTTATGGCCAGCAGGCAGAGGCAGATGGATCTCTGTGAGTTCAAGGCCTACATGGTCTACACAGCTAGTTCCAGGACAGCCAGGGCTACACAAAGAAACCCTGTCTCCAAAACCAAGACAATAAAAAATAGAAAAATGAAATTAAGGCCTGACTGGGCTACAGAAGAAGTTCAGAGCAGACCTAAGCAACTTTGCTGTGTCCAGCATGACTCCATGGATGGACCGGACTGGGGAGGTGAGTGGAGGAGGAAAAGACAAACACAGACACAGAAAAGCTGGGAACTGGGTGAATTGGTCTCTCTGATGGAGAAGCCACAGCACCCGGAAGCACAGTATGTTTATTATACAGAGGGGCAGGATACAGGTGAACAAGGAGTGAAGTTATTATGGACATATAAACAAGGAGGCAGGTTTATGGTAATCAATTGGTCCAAGGAGACAGGTTGAAGCTAATCTTAGCAGGACCAGTGTGAGTAGAGGAGCAATCTTCAGGTCATAAATACTGGGATGAGGAAGCTATGATGGACATTTCCTGTACACACTGTCAACATCCACATATAGGCCCAAAAAGGCTTGGCCATTTTCAATGGGTCTGAGGCTAGGTACTTGACATGGCTGTGCCCATGTCAGCGGCACAGTCATTCAGATCTTCACTCATTCAGGACTGTCTCCATTCTCTCCACAACTTAGTGAGACTGTTACAAAATTTAAAAAGGTAGGAGAGATAGCTCAGTGGTAGACTGTTTTTCTAGCATTCATGAGGCCCTCCCTGCACACTACACACACACTCACACACACACACACACACACACACACACACACACACACACACACACACACAGAGACAGAGAGACAGAGAACATGATGAAGACTCTTAAGACATTTTGTTCCTGCATTCTTATAAGGTCAAAGTTGAAGAACAAAGAGTGGAGGGATGGAGACTAGTGCTATAGTTAATCTTGGCTGTCAACTTGATTGGATTTTCTATCAAGTAAGAGACATGGATCTTTGAGGGTGTTCCAGGAAGGATTAACTGAAGACTCTCCCTCTGAGTGGGAAGTGCCTGCTAGTGGGGTTCAGATGTGCAGGGCTCTGAGGGAAAGCGCTGCTTGCTTGTAGTTCCTGAGTGTATCCACTGCTGATTTCAAACTGCCCGGGAATCAAGTCTTGTGGACTAAGTAGCTACCAGGCTCTGAGCATCTCCAGCATGCAGACAAAATGTTTGACTATGCAGCCTGTACTGTGTAAACAGTCTTAACAACCCCCCCCTTT